GTTAGGTCTTAAAGGTGCAGTATGTAATGTTTATTTACATATCTGTTAAAACTGTCACCATGTAGTGACAGTATTTTATGAGACTTTACTGGCATACAGAGTCTATATAAAACTTTCTGATGAATGAAGGATGATTGTTTGCTTTTTCCTTCCCAAGGTCGAAAAGACGCTGTGGACTTCGAGGACGAGGTGAATCCCTCCGCGTCCGAACTCTCAGAATATCTGAAGTCCCTGCCAGGAGAATCAAAGATCCGTTCGTCCCTCCACTGCCTGGAATGCGGGAAGGACTGCAAAAGCCAGTCGGCTTTGCAGGCGCACCATGTCACGACGCACAGCGAGGCTGAGTCGGAGACGGCCGAGAGCAGAGCGTCACGGTTCCTCTTCTGCCGCCGCTGCTGCGTTCAATTCGACGACAAAGACAAACTGGAGACGCACATGAAGAGCCATGTCAAGGAGAAGCGCTACTCGTGCCCAGACTGCGGCAAGATGTTCATCAACGAGAGCTACATCCAGATTCACCAGCGCATCCACACAGGCGAGCGGCCTTTCCTCTGCTCGCTCTGCGGCCGCGGTTTCCACACGGCGTCTTCCCTCAAGCTCCACGAGATGCAGCACTCTGGGGAGAGGCCGTACGCCTGCTCCATCTGCGGGAAGAAGTTTCAGATTAACTCCTACCTGAACGCGCACTACCAGACCCACATCAAAGACAGGCCGTTTGTCTGCAGCGTCTGTGGGAAAGGCTACTCCCGAGCCGAGGAGCTGAAGGTCCACCACAGGCTCCACACCGGGGAAAGACCCTACAAGTGCGGGGAGTGCGAGAAGAGTTTCATATACCGCCAGGGGCTTCGGCAGCACCAGCGGACGCACGCCGGCAGGCGAATGGGACCAACCAGGCAGCTTGGCAGACCCAAACAGCAGAACAAGCTGGAAATCTGACAATACTTCTGTTCACGCATTCTTATTAGCGGTGTCACAGTAAACTGCTCTTTAGTCTTCTATCTTCCGTTCCTACCGTCTAGAATTGAGGTGGTTTCTGAGCTGGGGAACAGTCTGTAAACTCACTGTGTTTTCTATGTCGTGTTTAAGTTTTGTGCCTACGTCTTAATGCTTCCTCTTCGCTGGTAGCTCTTTTGTTCTATTTTAGTGCCTTTTGTAAACTGCATGCCAAATACACTACGTGTTTATAAAAAAAATGCACTACATCGATGTTATTTTAAACTCCTTATTGTTGAAATACAAACTTTTGTTAGAAACACATCTGTGATTTTGTTTTCTTCATATAAAGTAATAGTGTTTATAAAATATGGAGAGAAATATTGCCTTTGTAAGGCTTTAGTCCTGTTTTACAAATTTTAAGCAGTTTTTTTTTAGATATTGAAGGGACTCTGCTGTGTTTTAAAAGGTCACAGAGTTCGCTTCTGTCAGACTGCTCCAGGGCAGATGGTCCTGCAGTGTAGTTTCCAGTGGATAAATGGGTGAATAACTTAATGTAGTGTAAAGCACTTTAGAGTCCTCTGGACTAGATAAAGTGCTATACAAGTTTACAAGTTTTAAGGCCTTATTTTTAGGTCTTAAAAAGTCATGAGTACAGTATTTATAGATATAATATTATTTCAGTAATAGTAAAGACTGGTATTATTACCTCTGGCAGATTAAGATGTAAAGTCATTCTTCTACGTTGACCTAAAGATTAGGGTTATGGCAAGGGGGCTTTCCAACCTCAATTTTGAAGCCCATCATCAAAGAGAAACGCCAGCACACATCAAAAAGATTGCCTTAAAATACAATCATTGAATTTTAATTTGAATTGTCAAAATTTTGATTCTGAGAATGCAAATGTATTTCTCTTATTTCTGTCTGTAGAGTATGCAGTTAGTCTAGCAGGAGTTATTTAAAATAACTTTTTTTGATAGATTTGAGACAAATAAACATTTTATAAATGAAGATAGAAAGACCTCTAATACAAACATTATAAAGCCGTCTTTTAATTTGCTCCATTTACTTGCCCACATTTGCCTACTGTCCGCTACAGAGCTTTAGGAATAAACGCATTGTTGTGCTGTTTGGGGCTTTTATTGTGATAACCGGAAGTTTTGAGGGTCTCTAACACCAACTCAAGCTGAAAGTGTTGTCATCAGCCGTTTTTCTAACGTGACTCATTTGTTTGTTTACAATCATTTGACGCACCGTTTTAGCACCCTGAGCACTGACCTGACGCGTTAACACACTTATTGCCGTTTCGTCGCATTAAACTATTTCGAAGCGACTCCTTTTACCCGAGGGAACAATCTATGCAGAGGTTGGTCAACATGTCCATTGTCTGTCGTTAGCTAGTCGAGTTAGCGAGTGTTATCCACATCTGAGAGGGGGGTTTTGTAGAAATCTGGTGAATTTCTAGCGGGCTGTGATGATTAATGTCATTTAATTTTTTTTGTCAAAATGTAGGTTATTATTAACTGCTTGTTAAGATAAATGATGCCGTGAAACGCCACCCATGTCTCCGATAGCTGGCTATCAGCGGTCCTCCCCCCCCCAGAGCAGGAGGAGGTGGTCGCTGACCAGCTTGGTGGTGACCGCCGCTGTCACGATTAAAACTCATTTACAGGTCAATTACTGTCTGCTCAGCTCACTACGTCTGCTGAGGGTGTTGTGTATTTATCCCCCTTATTCCATTAGAGAGTTTTGTACTCCAACAGGTTAGTCATTTAATTTATTGAAAACAGTAGAAATGAGGCAGCAGATATGCATAATTAGCAACCTGGAGCTAATGCTACTGGGCTAGCTGCTCTCTTTACGTTGAATTATCAAAGTCCCAGAAAATACAGGTGACACCTTTCCATCAGATTTGTGACGCGAGGAAGGTTGCGCGTGTCGTTTCGAGTCACTCTTCCATCCACAACACCTCCTGTTCCCTGTCTGGCTGCCCTTGAGCAGGACCGTGGATGTCCTCCAGGGTGGAGAAAACAACAGCGCTTCACTAAACTACCGACACCCTTTAACTTGTTTACATTCTGAACCTTTACAGTCACAAACTTCTATATGTTTCCGTAGGATTTGTTAAGTTGAAAGGAGAATGATGCATTGTTTTTTAATTTATTAATTTTCTTTATTTTTTAAAAAGAGACATCTGAAGAGTGTGGCTTGCCTTTAAATTTAACCTCCATGCCCCAAGTCTATAATTTGTCAAAATACCCTAAACTGCAATTGCAACGATACTCATTGTGATTTGTGTTTGTACAAGCTTTAAAACTTTTGTCCATTCTTCGTAATAATAATCCCAACTCAATCAGTTTAGATGAAAAATATCAATTTCCAATTCTTGATATGGAATGCTGGTGCATTTTTGTGATTTCATATGCTTTTATCAAAACCATTGGTCTGCAACCTTTATAATCCAATGAAATAATTTTGCCCTAAAAGCGTCTGATTAAAACTCGTTTAGAGGCGCAAATGTAACCTGAGTTTTTGAAAAAAAAAAAAAAAAAAGATTATAGCTTACCTATACTTTTTCAAAAAATATCAGATTACAGGAAATGTGTAATTTATTTTTTTTTTAAATACCTTTTATTTCTATTTTTCATGTTTTAAATAAAAAAAAAAAAACATGAAACAGAAAACCTCTACAGAAAAGGATAAGTACCGATACCGATCACCCATGAGGCCGATCTTTGCCGATCACGTGAAATGGCTGTTAATTTTTCGCTTTCGATATAAATGCTGCTATGTGATCTGGCAAAATGGAAAAATTATCTGGCAATAAATTCACCTAATTTAGACATATATTACAAAATATTTGCAGGCACAATACAGCAGCTATTCAGTCAAAAGGACAACTGAAAAACCCGCAATCATTAAAATAATATTTAACAGTAGGTCCTCCGTACCATAAATTATGCACAAGTCAAATAAATCTCACAGCACTGCCTATATCAAATAATGTCAAGAAAAAATAAATATTCATTCAGAGTCAAATGCAGGTTGCATCAAAATAAACAATTCTGAGTTAACTGAATCAAAGTTTCTTGATTTTAATTTTCATCTTAAAAATTTCATTTTACTGGCACCTGACTTCAAAATTTCTACCTAGTTGTACTTGGACAGTATTGACACAAAAATATTAACTTCTATTCTTCACCTTCACAATGAGCTATTTGCCCATATTGTTACAGTCAAACATGGATTTCTCTTTTGTTAGATTGTATATTTGAGAGATGGGTTCAGAGAACTCTGACCACTTTGGACCAGCGGTGGTCCTTGTTGACGAAGATGAGCAAGAAGTAGGTGGTCTAATCAACTCAGACGGGGAAGAAGTGGAGTTCTCCGAAGTCAGTAAGTAAATAAAGATCTTAAAGTTAAGTTGGCTGTCAATAGATTAATATTTGTCTGTTCTTTTATTTGAAGTTTAAAACACCCTGAATAGTATAAATCAGCATGCACCTTTGGTAGGACCAATAAAACTGGCTATTAACAAAACATGGCTCAACTTTTTTGAAAATAGAGGCGCATTGATTGTAGTTTTCTGGCCGACAGCGAAGCTTTAAAAAAAGCCTGACCTACTGATTCCAAATTTGACCTATAACGATTTTTTTTTCTTTACTGAAAGCGAACTAAGTACAGCAACAAAGTTGCTTAATTAGCAACACTGGGGTGACTGTTGCTAATAGTGAAAGTTCAGACATGATCTGGTGGGTGGGTTTGTCAGTCAGCCCTCTCTCACCACAGAACTAAAGGGAACACTAGCTGATTTTTAGCGTTAGACAAGATCGGTTTCACAGGTAAGTATCAGCCAATCGTCACTCTCCCAAAATTTAGAAAATTGTGGCCGATGTATCTGTGTACTCACAATTGAAAATGTAAAAGAATTACATTTTCTCATTTGAATGTCATAAAAATTATGTGGAATAGTTGATGCAAAGAAACACTGGGATCCACTGAATGTTCCTGAATATTGTGCTAATCCTTAACTTTTGTTCACACAGGAGTGAATCCCATCTCAGGTGTTGTACCTGCAGAGACTCCCTCCAAGAAATTGATTCAGAGCGAGAGTGAAAAGCTAGCATCCCTCCACAGCTGCTCAGTTTGTGGGAAAGACTTTCCTTACGCCTCTAAGCTTCAGCGGCATCTGCGCACTCACTCAGGAGAGAGGCCATTCCCTTGCTCCATGTGCGAAAAGAGATTTCCAGAGAAAGGGCTCCTCATGATCCACGAAAGGGTCCACACGGGCGAAAAGCCGTTCCCGTGCACTTTCTGCACCAAGAGGTTTGCCAGTCAGGGGGAGCTGCGTCTCCATCGGCGGACTCACACGGGCGAGAGGCCTTACCACTGCTCCATCTGCCAGAAGAGCTTTTCTCGGCACTGGCACTTGAAGACGCACCTGGAGGCGATGCACTGCGAGGTAGTTGCGGGCTTCACAAGGAAGAAATTTCCATGCTCGGAGTGCGAGAAGAGCTGCAACTCGGCGGCTGAGTTGAGGGACCACCAACGGACTCACACTGGGGAAAGGCCCTTCCAGTGCTCATTCTGTGACAAACGGTTTGCCTTGTCTGGAACACTGGTGAGGCATGAGCGCCTCCACACCGGTATCACCCCCTACCACTGCTCCGACTGCGGCAAGACCTTCGCACAGCAGTGGACGCTCACCACACACATGAGGACTCACACGGGAGAAAAGCCATATAGCTGTTCTCAGTGCGACAAGTCGTTTGTCGCTCCTGGGGAGCTCCGGAGGCACACCAGGATCCACACAGGAGAGAAACCATACACCTGCGGTAACTGCTGCCGGCACTTCTCATTAGCGGGAACTCTAAGAAACCACCGCCGGTCGTGTACGCAGAGCAAGAGCGAGTCCGTCCCTGATGTCATCTTAGGAGTGAACCGAGCATCAGTAGATAAGTCGTACCTGGAGGGCCAGGCTAACTCCATTGTCTGCAAGGTAGTAGTAACAGGACACAGCATTTTGAAACTTGTTTCTTTAGTTTACTCAGTTATTTAATTTTTTTTTTTTTTTTTTTTTTACAAAACTGTATTTTAAGGTACCTGAAAGCGAGACCTCTCCAAATGCTGCTGAGCCTACTTCCTCAGAGCATCTTAACTGTGTCACATCGCCTCAGCCAGAAGAGAACCTCATTTCCACTCCCCATGTGAATGTTGTAGTGAAACAGGAAGAAGAGGAAGAACCCTTATACGGTACTTTAAAGTATTCTTGATATTCTTCTCATTATTTGCTGTATTAAAAGGGTCAGTATAATGTAAAATGCACTTTTTTTAGCTTTACATTATGTTATAATGTTATTACCTCATCAAAAATATACCTGGAGTGTCACTTTGATTCTTTCATGCATGTTTGAGAAACCCTTTAATCTCCCATGGCAAATGTTAAGCTGTGCTAAACGCCTGGTGTTCCACCAGACGTTTGCCCTTCAAGGCCAAAGCTCTTCCTCTGAGCAGCAGTTTCCAAGCTTCCGCCTCACAGAGCAGCCCTCCCCCACTCAGCTCCTTCAGACTTGCCAGAAGCAATTAGCAAACACCTGGTGGAACTGAGCATCTGCTAAGCTCATTATACGAGCTACTTAATGCAAAGCTGGTAAAAATGTTGTTAAAGGGTTAATAGAGGAGCAATGTTGTGATGATTTCCTGGAGGCTGAGTTTCAAAAAGAGCAGGAGTTTCTTAAGGGCACCAAACCCCAATTTCAAGGTGTATTGCGTCAAATTTCTATACATGCAGTATTCTTATTACAACTGAAGGTAACATTGCTACTTGGTTGTGCTATAAAGTGGTATTATGTGCCACTTTATAGCACAGCGTGGTTGGACAATACTGCCCCTTTAAATGTACATCTAACTTTAGTGATAATATGTAATGTTCATACGGGTGGTGTCCTTACATTGATAGAGGAAACTCCTGACCGGGCATCAGATGGGGAGAATTGCGAGACTCCAGAAGAAAATGAAGAGCTGCATCAGCAAAGCAACAAAGAGATTAGGATTACAGTAAAAGATGAAGAGGAGGGGTCAGTAAACGGTAAGGAGACACCAATCCTAATGTAGCGCTTTGTCACTCTACACAAAAGACACAAATAAAGCTAGAGATGCACAAATCAGGCTGATCTCCAGTTTATCTCTGGGGTCTGCCATGCCAAGGCCAATTTTCTTTCAAAGGACAGTAATGCATAGGCAAAAAACCTGATTGGGACGAGACGGATCAGAACCCCTCCAATCTTGGGAAAAGTGTAGATATGCTCATGGCCCAGTACGTTTAATTAAAGAAACCTGTGCATTTAAACAATGCAAGTCTACAGAGCCCCCCAAAAAACTGCCATTCATCTAAGAAAAAAAACAAGGATGAATTTTTAGGTACAGCCTGGCATTGTTGATGCAATAGTTTTGTCTGTAAAATCATGGATTAATTAAAATGCGATGAATTAATCACAATTTAATCAAAGACTAAAATAAGCAAGATTTTCAATTAAAACCCCTGAAATTTGTTTTTAAACAGCAAGTCCACAAACACTTGCTAGTGGAAAGTTATTGTCCTTCCAAGAGAAATGGTTTGACAGTTTTCCTTGGTTACATTACAGTCCAACAAAAGTCTTGTGATTTTGTTGCAGCAAAGGATTTTCAAATCGGTCTGTACTGGGATCAATTTGTGACTATAAGTGGACAATGGACATCGACTCAATCGAATTGATGTCCAGTTATCCAGCAAATAAGATAAAAAGCAGGAGATGTCAAGGCATTGCTTACAAAAACTGTTAGTTCTGTTAGATGAGGCAAGATGGGGACAAGCCTTTAGTGACCCCACTGATAAAAGTGGCTATTTGTATCAACTTCTCTCATATAGGACTGATTAGGATTACCCCATTTTGCTAAAGAGGTATACAGACCATTGAGTACACAAGCTTCAAAGCACAGAATGAAATGAAACAGTTTTCAGTGATAGTTGATGGAACACAGGATGTCTATGGCACTGAACAAGAAAGTGTCTTCGCTTTGTGGACCATGACTATTTCCCAAATGAGGTGTGTGTTGGACCTTACAAGGTGTCTGGCACAATGGGCTATGGTATTGCAAAGGTGGTGACAGATGTGTTGTTGGGGCTCAATCTGCCCATGTCTGGCTTTCGTGGGCATATTCTTGATGGTGTCTCAAAAATTGCTTCCAAACGGTTAGGCATCCTGTTTTGTCAGTCAATAAAATTCAAGACCATGCTTTAAAACATCGTCACATGTGAAAATACACCACTAACCAACATGAAAGCCTATGCCCAACAAAGGTGCACTATGCGTCATTCTGCAGTAGTACAGTAGCTGTGTTAGGGCAGTATGAGTGAGTACTCTACAGGATGGAGGAGATGGCAAAATACATTGCAACTGCTAAGTGGCTGGGGAAAGGAAAGTCTGGGCCTCCCTACTTAGGCTCTCCGCGACCTGACTCCGGATAAGCGGAAGAAGATGGATGCCTTCTTTGAGGATTTCAGCAAAGGAAAGACTATGTTGGGCCTCACACCTGCGTCAGCTGTTGTTGGAGAGCTTGAATGCCTTAATATTTCACTTCAGAAAAATCTCAGACTGTGTCTGGTATGTAGGCTACAGTCGTCTCTTCAGAAAAGATAAATGACGGGAGCTACCTTGCACTGTATGACAAAGTACCAACATTGGTTGACTCTCTTGATTCCATTGACTCCACTGAAAAACAAGATTGAAGATGCCTTTTTGGCAAAATAGTGGATTACAACCTGTTGAGACTGAAAATCTCAATCGATGAATCATAATTTGTATTGACACACGGAGCATAAAATCAGCCAAGAAAAGCATTCAGACTTTACTTATTTTATTAACTTTCAGCGCTGAAAGGAGACACTTTACCATTACATCCGAGAAGAGTTTCTAAAAAAGTCTGTGCAGCGTCTGAGGAGAAAGAGGAGGGCAGCTGATTATATGGACGGAAGACACTCCCTGAAATCATACCATGCCTCTGTGGCCTGATAAGTTTCTGTTTCTCGTGAGAAATGGACCTTGGTGTCTAACAGAATCAAAAATGTAACTCTTTACTATGGGCCCTTTGTCTAACAGCGTGTGACTCTTTCTCGGCCTTGGTAAAGCATCTCAACACCTAATAGTAATCATAATGATTTAACTAATTTACTAATCTCAACAAACCGGATAGCGGTGTTTAAAGTTTTGGATGCTAGAGGTTCAGTTTGGGGAGCATTTTGAAGAGGACAGCATCAAAACTTAGCTAAAATTGAAGTGTGCACTCCTGACTAAAGACAGATGATTACCCCACACCTTATCCTGAGCAGGACACAAGCTCCTTTCCTTCACAGTTCCCCTTGTTCACACCAGTCACCTCTGTAGCACAATTGGAGAGGCGGTAGAGGTTTTTATGTGACCAAGTTGCGACCCTCCTCAGACTTGTGTTGTTGGTGCCAGTGTCTTCATGTGAAGCTGCAGGGAGTTTTAGTGCGCGACACAGGGTAAAGACATGGCTACGTGCTAATATGACCCAAGGCAGACTCAACGATGCAGTTGTTTGTAATATCCTTAAAGAAAGACTGGGCAAGCTGGACATGAAAGTAATCTGCCAAGAATTTGTTGGATCCATTGGAAACATCTTTGGCCTTTTTTTGTCTGAGCCTTTGGCTAAATGGTAAAATATTTTCCCTAGTGTAAGGTAGAGTTCAATCTTGTTCTAGTCGTGCTTTAGTTAATTATTATGTTGTGCAGTACAGTGTAGTTGATGTATATTCCATTTATTAACTTTCATTTTATGTTTAGATTATAATTTAAATTACTCCTAACTTGTATTGAGACACTACAATAAAGGTTACTCAAAATATTTCTTCTGCTTGAGAAGTTGTTACTGTTAAATTTTTGTAAAGGTAATCGAGCAGAGATTAAAACAGTGTCTTTGACCACAGGAATTTTGAATACAAGTCAAGCTGAAATATAAATAATATTTTAATTAGAGTTTTGCTTCCCTGGGTCTCAACACAGATATCATGATGTCATGTGACTTTGAACTTTTGGAGACCCTTTTTTTTTAATTTATTTTTTATTTTTTCTTATTTTCAAAAACTGCAGATCTATACAAGATGATTATTTTTCCATTTCTGGCACATTATGGAAATTCAGTTTTAAATAGCTGATTCCAAAGATTCAACATTGGCACATTTAATTAAACACATCAGAGATGCATGTATTTGATCTGTTAAGAGGTCAGAGCCAATTAGGGAGCAAATTGATCACTGTCTGATTGATTGGTGCACTGTGCTGGAAGGTAATTTATCTTAAAACAATATGTTTGGATTGTTTCAATGTAGTGGATGTAATATTTATTATTCTAATGGACCAATGACTTATGTGTAATTGAAATAAAGGTTGGCTAATTACTCAATTTGGATTTTCAAAAAATACATTTGCTTATTGAAAACATGACAGTTAAAAAAAAAAATCACGTTATTCGATAAACTGTTTTTGCGGTAGAATGAATTGGTTTTTCGGCCGTATAACAATTAGTTTTTCGCAAAACTGCAATGGAAACACTTTCGCATCACATGTGATCAAAAACGAAATGTCACTACTGGAGGAAAACACGAAGACGACAAGAAGTGATAGGAGGATGATGGTACGGCATGTTTTCTAACAACTTCTCACGTGAACAAACTTTTTCACGTGTGATTTTAATTGTTTCTTATTTAATGGAAACACCACAATTGGGAAATTGTTTTTTTTTTGACAGGAGCAGAATACAGTAATAAATTGTTGTAATAAATTACATACAATAGTGAATTGAAACTGTCTTTTATAGTTCATTTGTATTGTTAGTGTGGTGCTGGAAGAGTATCAAAACTTACCTTTAAAATGCTTGAATTTTACTGTAAATAAAATGTTCAAACCCTGTTTGCGCTCCTACGCTCAGTTTTAAAGTCCTAACATCCAAATTGTCTACAGAAAATCCGGATGCTGACGAAGACGTTGAAAAACGCGGTCTTCCAACGTCACCTGAGGAAAAGCAAAGTCGAAGCAACTCGAAGAGTTCCTACTGCTGTGGGCTCTGTGGAAGAGACTGCCACAAGATGTCGGCGTTGCAGATCCACATGCGCATTCACTCGGGCGAGAAACCCTACCAGTGCTCCCTCTGCGGAAAACAGTTCACACAAAAGGGTCAGCTAAAAGGTCACTTTAAAGTCCACACGGGAGAAAAGCCATATTCCTGCCCGGACTGCGGCAAGAGCTTTGCCCACTCGGGCGCCATGAACCGACACCGGCTCACCCACACGGGTGAGAAGCCGTACCACTGCTCCGTGTGCGACCGCAGCTTTAACCAGTCTGGCCGACTGAGGGAACACGAAAAAATCCACCTGGGGGAGAAGTTCGACTGTCCCGAGTGCGACAAGAGCTTCACGCGCGCTTCCAGCCTCAAAAACCACGTGAGGCTGCACACAGGTGAGAGGCCGTACGGTTGCGATGTCTGTGGGCGAGGCTTCAGCCGCTCGCAGAGCCTCAGACTCCACAGGAGGAAACACTTTGAGACCGAAGGAACGTCTCCGGCCGCCACGAAGAATGACGACTTCTATGAGAGCGACAATAACTCCCCCATTAATATGTGCATAACGGAGAAAAATGACTGAAAAAAAACTCTTTATTTAACCAGATATATATTGGTAGTGTTTAGTACGAGATCAAAGTCTGTAAAACTGAGAAAGTGGAAAGTAGCGGCTTACCTCTGTGAATTTATTGTTACCCATCTGTAATGCTTCTATATAAAAAGTGTTAAAAACTAAAATATTTATCTCTGAAGTGGACAAACAGCCTTATGAACAGAAACACAGCTGTGGTCTGTGCTACCAAGCAGGATTACCTGCTCATCAAGAAGCACGAAGCTGGGTTACTCCTTACCTGGGTTCAGCACTATTTATTTATTTATTTTAACTTTTTTTTAGTCCATAGTAGGGAATTTATACTGAAACAAATTCTAGTCAATGGCATTTGAAAATTAAAAAAAAAAAAAAAAAAATACTTCTTTCCTCTGGTTTTCTGAGATGCACCATTTCACTTTGCTATCGTGTAAAATCGATTTTTTTGAGTTTTCACATCATGTTATAATGATATTCGTTAATCAAAGACATACCTGGAGAAAGAGGCCCAATTGCGAGGAGATAAGTTGCGAAGTCAAATTTCTTTTAAGTTATGATCGATATATAGACATGTTGCAGCGTAACGTCACGTTGTACATGCCCAAGATCCCTGCTGGAGGACAAAAACGCTGCTTGCAGACGATGGCTATCGTTGGTTTTACTGTCAACATGATGCGCTAAATCTTAAATGTATGCTTGATATATAAAAGAAAAAGTGACGTGGTGCTTTGCGACTAATTGTCAACACTATGACAACAACATAATAAGGTCCAAGGATATCACATTTCACAAGTTAGTAAAAAGTATTAATTGGGAAAAAAAAAGTGAGGGAGAGGAAATTAGTTCATTTAAACTAGCTTGACTTTGACACGTCTGCTTAGTAAAAGCTGGGATTTTTCACCATTAATACTTCAATTCATGAATCTGTAACTGTAACTACACTCTGTACTTTATGTAAAGTGAATTCATGATTGCAGCAGCTGTACTTTCTGATATTTTTTAGAACAGTTGAAATGGTAAAATAATTTAATTCTGAAACATGTTAAAAAGAAATTGCAGATATTTAATAAATACGCACCATATTGCAGGGGTGTCCAAAGTACGGCACAGCTGGGCTGATTGGACTGATTGGGGCCCCAAGCTCAGGTGGTTGATGCAAATTGAGGCTTTTTTATGTTTAATTAGTGCAAAATTATTACAGACAAATTAGAATCTTCTTAGCACCCACATAAAGAATTTTGTCTTTTGATAATCATACTTTTTGCTTTCTCTTTAATTCTGTTTTTATTACTGAGAATTGGACAATTTAGTATCCAAAAGAATGTTCAAACTGGATTCCTTACTTGTGAAAAGCCCTTTTTAAGTTCTGGATGATTTAAACTTTCCTTTCCTCTAAAAAATTCAACCCCTTTATTTAAATAATTTTTTGGTGATTTAAATGTTTTTAAAAATTATTTTATTTTATTTATTTATTTTTTTTTGTCCTGTAAGAACTTTTGCCTTGACGATTTTGGCTCGTGACAAAAACTTCAGACACCTCCGCCCTAGTGTGCTTTCTCTTTCAAACTCAAAACCTCCCAGTGATACACACTCTTCGGGACTGGAATTTGTATTATTTGTGCCTCAGAACATAGGTGCTGTAAGATGATAATGGTTTAAAACCTAAAATATTAACTTTAACAAAGAATTTACACCTTCTGTCTTCAGCAACTTCCACAAACCGCCACCAGTACGATTCAAACCCCAAAATCCCACCTCCATTGTAGGACTGAAGTAAATTTCTAACTAGGTTATCTGTTTTTATTTGTTGTTTAAGTCAAGAGAAAAAGAGACTAATAACAGATTGATATCAGCATTGCTACAGCTGATTAAAACAGACTTCTTAAAGAAACCTCCAATATGTCAAACCTGCTCTATAGTACAGGCCTAAGTTGTGTTCAAAGTTTTAACAGTATGCGTTTAATAAATCTTATAACGGCTCATATTTACACACAGAAATGCATTGAGAACGCTGCATGTGCTATTCAGAAAGTGGAAACCTTCTGAATAGCACAAAACTTTAGGAAAATAATATCTCAATACAGAAAGTAAAGAAAATGGATTTTTAGTAAATTTTAAAAAACTTAACAAGTGTTTGCATATTTCCTTCTACGCAAAAGTTTTCTGAAGATTCAGTTTTCCTCTGAATCTGGACGAATGTTTCATATTAATATTTATTTGTATAACCGCCGTCCCTTAGGAAGGCTTCAGACTGGAGTCGAAGTGACTTCATCCTGAACAGGTGACCACGATCGGACACATTCCAGAGTTTGCTTTGCCTCAGCAGCAGCACGTTTAGAGTCAGCCCACGTTTTCATCTGGTTTAAGCTCCAGAATCTGGGCTGGCGTGTTCATAACGTTAATCTGGTTAGTTTGGGACCAAGACAAGGCTTTATCGCTGCGTTTGGGATGTTGTTGAAACTTCTGCTTTAAGGGAATTTTCTCTTTCCTCTTCGCCTAAAGCAACATGACGTCTTTGGTTCTTTCAGTGTTTTTAAACTGATCGGTAACGTCTGGTATTTGATGACTAGGTCTGACGACATAGAATAAGAAACATGACCACAGCATGATACCTGAGTCACCGTGCTTTAATGTATGGTAACCAAAACTAATTGTTTGAGGACTTACATCCAAAGGGAGGAATCTTGTTATTGTTCAACAAAATGTTGCACCAATTCACTTTAGGATAGTCAGTCAGTTTGTTCTTTGGCAAATTGTAACCTGCTTGCTTTTTTTTTCTTTCAAAAATTTGACTATGTGATGGCTTCTTGCCATAAACTTCTTCATATCTTGGTCTTGTTAATTTTATATATGAGAAATCTGGAGTTTTCCAAAGTCTTTGCCATTTTGGGAATTCTTTGATCCATTCAAGTGGCATCTTTCCGTTTTCTTCCTGGTCTTTTATGTCACAGCATATTAGGGTCACTGGAAAAAAGGAGTAAATATTTACCAAAAACCTCTCTGTACTTTTCTAGAAAAAAATAAAAAGTAGGAAATGTTCTAGTTTGAAAAGTCAAAAATGTTCAACTTTTGAAATTCATACATTTTTGAGTTTTTTTTTTTTTTTAATTAAACTCAAAATTTCAGAGTGTTTTTTCTAGCAAACTTTTGGCTTTTCTAGTAGAGAAATGTCCTTGTTATATCTCGAAAATTTTTGAGTGCTTGGCGGAAATTTACTCCTGTATTTTCTACACAGTGCATGGAAAATCAGTACTGTGTCATTCTTTTAGGCTCTAGTTTTCCTTTTTCACTTCTTTATATGCCTTCACTTCTCCAGTCAGCTTTTTATTCCAAGTCTGGTGTTTGATTCATAGGGATTGCCCTATTACCAACATGTGCTGCCTCACTTTGAATTAATGATTTTAATTATACAATATGAGCAATATACTGTACATGCTATGTTGCTGTGATGGTCTTCTACTACTCTACTGCGCCTACAACTGCATTATTTTCCATGCAGAATACTGCTGTCTGTCTGGTTTGTGATGTTGAACTGATATTATTTTGAACACGTTTGTAATTTTCTCCAACTAACACGTTCAAAATCAGCTCTCACTGCAAACGCAAAGTTTCATGTTGCAAAGTCTCATTTATTCTAATTTACCGTCTTCTTCTGTTTAGATTGGTCGGTGATTCCACTTTGTCCAAACAATGCTTGTCATATCATTAATTTTGAATGTGAACATGGAACAGATAAGTATATTTGTTGGGTCTTACAGTGGACATTAGCTCATTTTGCTTTTAAAATTAAAAATGAATAGGCTTTTAAGTTTTCTTTTTTTTTTTTTTTTTAAAATAAACTTGAATGTTTTCAATACAATAAGGACCAAACATGTATGGGACACGAAACGTGTTCTTTTATTCTTGATTATTTAATGAATTTTATCTGTATAAGAAAATGCGTCATTATTACGTGTGTCTTTAAAATTATGAAACATCATTGAGAGATCACACTTAATATGAGGTCTAAACGGTTCAAGAATCCAGATAGGTTTGTGTTAAAAAGACAAAAGATTGTCCTGTGTGTCACATATACTCCTTCTAACAGTTAAATAATTTTGTGAAATGCTTCAAATTTGCTCTGTAATGTTGATTCGTGTCTATCAAAACAGCCAACCAACCATAAACAGAATACTATCACCAAAAGGATGCATTATCCAAAGAGGAAATGATTTTTATGCTGTGTTGATGGTGGATATATTTACTGATGTAGCTGTATCAGATGTGTTGCCTTACAATAAAAGTATTTAACATTGCATTGTGCTCCTGTTTGACTGTGTGTAAAGGACTATAATCAACTGTGACCAAATCAGATGAAAACGTTAAAAATACTTCCACAAACACTTAGTGTTTTGGACACATTGAGAAACGTAACATCTTTAGGCAGGTTTGCAGGGTGAGAACACGTCATTTACTATTTTGTATTCTGGGTTTTCTTTGTAATCTCAAAACTACTTATTTTTTTGTTTTTGTTTAACTTTGTTGACTTATTAAAAAGCTGCTCATTGACAAATACATTAGACAGTAGCAATAATAGTAATAGTAAATCATTATTTCTAGGATATTTGAACACAAATACATTACCAGAGGTGTCAAACTCCAGTCCTCAAGTGCTGCTGTCCTACAGTTTTTAGATGTGCCACAGGTACAAAAACGCTGGAATGAAATGTCTTAATTACCTCCTCCTTGTGTTGATCTGTTCTCCAGCGCCTTGCTAATGACCTAATTATTCTATTCAGGTGTGGTGCAGCAGAGGCACATCTAAAAGTTGCAGGGCAGTGGCCCTCCAGGACTGGAGTTTGACACCTGTGCATTAAACAATACTTAATTATTTGGTGGAATTTGAATGAAGATTATGTGGTGTACAAGTTACATCTGAACGCACCGCCGTCTGAAAACGCCACCATGAGCTGCTTAAAACATTTTTATACAGACAAAATTCCCTTTAAAATTATGAACTATTCGTCACTATGTAAACGGAAATAACAATGTCGAGCTAAACATATGATATTCTCTTTTTTAATTTACCAACCGGAAGTTAAAAATATTCCGAGGGATATTGAATGCAGCTTCCAGATAAACAGACGTGCAACATGCAGACAGGGGACGAGTCTGTGAGTGCAGGCCAACACTTTGTAATGCTGACATTTGTTTAAAGCAGAGGCTAGATTCAAGCAGTGCATTAATAAGTATTTTAGAACAAAATTCAGAATCGAGACAAGATATCATATTGAATATTAATCAATCAATTTTTAAAATTAAAAATTTGGATCTAGGGTTAAGTTAATTTGGATTCCTGCCCATATTGGGATAGTAGGAAATGAATTGGCAGATCAATTTGCTAAGAGTGCAGTAAAAAGGGATAATGTTGAGTTAAATATCAAAATAAGTAGAAATGAGGTCAAAAATATTAGTAAAATATATTTTAAAAAGAAATGGCAGGAATTATGGGATAGAGAAGAAAAGGCAAGATTTTATTATAGCATTCAAAGAAAAGTAGGGGAATGTAGGGAAGGTAATAGGAATAGAAAAGAAGAGGATATTATATCCAGATTAAGGTTTGGGCATACGGGGCTAAATAGTACTTTGAAAATAATTAATAAACATAGTACAGGGTTGTGTAATTATTGTGGAGAGTCAGAAACAGTGCAGCATATTTTTCTAGATTGTGATAAGTACAATCGGGAAAGAGAGATATTAGTCAGAGAGTTAAATAGAAATAAAGTAATTTTAGATATTAAAAATCTGCTGCAAAGGTCCTCTGAAGATGTAATATTTAATAGCATTTTTAGTTATCTTAGGAAATCAGGTTTTATGGGAAGATTATAGTGATAGGACATCTAATCTATACTCCAGTCTGGAAGGTGGCGGTAATGCACCTATAAGTTGTTTGCCAACCGCCAAAAAACCTAAAAGAAGAAGAAGAAGAAGAAGAAGAAGAAAGCAGAGGCTGTTTTGGCTGCTGTATTTTGTGCCTGAGAAGTTCAAAGTTCAGGTAAGAACCTAACAATACGACGCTTCTTCCAGCTAAAGCTACAATATTAGCTAAAATGATTCTGCTGATGAAGTTAGCCAACATTAAAATACACCGAATGCTACATATTAGCACACTTTTGTCTTCGGTATCTATTTGCTGCGTTTATAGCGGTAATGCTTGAACATACCTGGCTATTAGTATCAGTAGCGACATTTCTCTTTGTTGTTGTTTAACCTCCATAACAACAGCTACTAGACACGAGAAAGTCTAGTAGCTTTCATGTACGCAGTACATGAAAGCAATTTTACACTTGTCTTTTTGCTTCACATATTACATTCGCTTTTAACAAATTATGCAATTTATTAATCACAAGAAAGGGACCAGTTGTAAATAAATGTTTTAAATAAGTAGTTTTAAAGCATTAGGTTTTCGACAATGCTTCATTTTTGTTGGTAGTATTGGCTGTCTGATCATGTGACCATCCTAAACGGTATTTGTTTTTGTCCAACTCTGTGTGACAGACTAACATTATTACAATGGTGTCGTATAAGAGGCTCAATCCAGAAAACGTTCAGTTTTCTGGTGCACTTTTATCAGAAGAGCATCATCGTCCAGCTCAAGAAGATGTGGCCGTGAGTTCATTTTTTACTTGCATTATTGTGATTATTTGATTGGACTCCTTGTTATTAAATGGAAACTCCGAAAACAGAAGTTGGTCTCTTTCTTTGTTGCGTTTACACGTAGACAATTTCTGTTTGCAAATATGGATTTTTAAGGAGCAGATATTGCCTGGGATATTGCACAAACAATCATTATTTTAAATGACAGCTTGGTGTAATAATTTATTTTTTTTATTTTTGAACTTATCCTGTTTGGCAATTCAGAACTGTTGTCCGAGTGTTAAGGTGAGGCCCAACAGATTTACTGTCACAAGTAAATACAGCTTTTACCAAGATGCTCCACTTGCTATAGATATTTAAAACTTAACTAGAAATTTATTTGGGTTTATTTCAAATGTAACGGACAAAGAGATGAAAAAGAAACGAGAAAGGTAGGGAATAGGTTCAGAAGTAAAGGAGATGGGAGTAGAGGAGAGAACAGAAGTCACCACGCTTGAAGTCTGCCTCTAAACCTGAGGAAAGGGGAAAAAAAACTGATAAATCACAACAAGCCAGGGCATTAATTTATTATTTTCTCTAACTCTTGTCAGGTGCCGCAGCCAGACAGCACCTCTCTGCTCCCCAGAAGGCTGTCATGCTCAATCACCAAAGTTATGCTGATTCTCGGCAGCCTGCTGCTGGTCCTGTTCGGGGGCTGGCTGCTGCACACCATATACTGGCTGCGCACCACGTCCGTCCAGGCGCACAGGCTGCCGCCGCCAGCGCCAGGGCAGGCTCTAGGCCCCGTGTTACAAGCGGACATAAATGACACGGTGACCGCTGCACGTTCCAAAGCTTGCAGTGCTATCCCAGAGTCGTGGAGGTTCGATTGCTACCCCGAGAAAGCGGTGGTTGTGACCCAGGAGCTGTGTGAGGCCAGGAGTTGCTGCTTCATTCCTGCTTCTGGTTCAACTAGAGGCAGATCTAGGAAAAACGGTATCCCGTGGTGTTTCTATCCTCCTGACTTCCCCTCATACTCCTTGGTGTCATCGAAAGACACGTCGATGGGACTCAAAGGTACCCTGGTAAAAGATGTGAAGACTTACTACCCTGGAGACATCCTCACTCTAGAGATGGAGATCAGACACGAAACGGACACACGCCTGCGTGTCAGGGTGAGTACAGGAGCAGTTTTAGTCTTCCAGTCCTCCTCTAGTGATTCCTGGGTAGTGAAACATGTTGCATTAGATCTAGAGATCTTTGTTCTGGAGAAGATCCTGAGAAGTTTTTGGTCATGGTTGGTTTTATGAAGGCATAGTTTGAAGAGAAAGAAAATGTTAAAGGACGAGATCATGAAGTTTGCCTCTTTTTGTATTACAAAACAATATCTGTTTGACTTTCTAAATCAATGTAGACTTTGTTCTGAACTGCAGTTAGCAGCACAAACTTTAGGTATCGCGCAGACTGATGCTTGCTCACCATTTATCTAAAAGAGGTTGCAAAGACCATTCAAAGTTTGAACAACACCTTGTGATGCTACTGTGTTTGTTCCTTGTGTGGGAAGATAATCAGCTTAAAGTAGATGACACCCCAGCGTCACTTTTGATACGCATGCCATGATACTGTAACATGTGATTTGATCTCCGGCTAATAGCAGCTGAGCTGAATTAATGTTGTGCCACTAGCGTCACAACACAAAGACTGCTAACGGAGGTGCCACAAATTTATTTATTCATTTTTACCGACGATGGTTCCTTTGTAGAAGAAAGATGTCATTTGACGGTGAGCTTGTTGGAAAAGGGAGTTTGAGTGGTGGAAGCTAGCAAGCTAAACAGCTAGCGACAGCCTGTTAATATCCGCTCAAAGTGATGCAAACGTTTTTCAGTTGCATTAAATGGCTACATTAGATGAATCAGATGAAGTAAAAGAATTACAACCAATATTAATGTAACAGAACCTCAATGTAAAAAAAAAAAAAAATCCAAACTGACTCTGTCCCCACAGCCACCATCTGCTCTATTCAGATGCTCACTCTGCAGTAATGAAGAATCAATATTTTTCTACAAACTTGTGTGAACTTTTTTACTTTTTACTGAATTGCAGATAACAGACCCCTCCAGCTCACGCTTTGAGGTCCCACTCTCTGTCCCCACTGCCACCAAGAAAGCAGAAAACCCCGAGTACGTTGTAGAGCTTTCAAAGCAGCCTTTTGGCCTCGCGGTGAAGAGGAAGTCTACAGGAACTGTTCTGTGAGTCTGACCTTAAAATGTTTCAGTTTGTTTTTCTTTTCCTTACATTTTTATTTATCAGCACCTTTTGTTTTGCTCGGTTATCATGAATTCCCTCCATTATCTTGTGCTGAGAACGTGAACAAGATGAGAAGACATTAAGTGAACTAAACAGAAGAGGTTTTGTTTTTGGAAGATTTAAATCCAGGATGCACTCTTGGTTTGCTTCCATTAAGAGTGTTGGTCTAGCCCCTGACTTCATGGATATTGCAACAATAAATGTTTAGGATATTTTAAATGACATTATGCAGACATTCAACAATAAAAACAGCTTAAACACTTTTCTTTTTAATATTAAAGTTTTGATATGTTTCAACATACGAGATATACATGAATGCACCATTAAAGCACCACTGGTGGGAAACCGCTTCCTGTTGAAGTGTTGTCACATCTCATGTTCATATTCTGCTTGACATCGTTTCAAGTAGGGCTGAAAAGATGAAAGAAAATTGAATTAATGATCACTAATTTAGTTGGCAATTAATCATTAACTGGAGTATAAAGACTAAAACAAAGGCAATTTGCTGAACTGCCCCCCAACATATTTAGAACAGTAATTGAGGCAAAACTGTACAAAAAATATATACATTGAGTATTTAAGATACAAACAGATATGCGTTAGTTTTAGCTTTACCTAGTTCAGATTTCCTGAAGGAATGCTACATCATTGCATTTTAGGCAAAAACGTGTTTTCTTATTACATTTTTTATTAATATTGTATTAAAGTTTAAATGAAGAATCTGTAGAACGTGCCATTTAAAAAGTGGATTGATCATCAGAATAACTGATTAATCCATTACTAAAATAATTTAGTTGCAACTCCTTCTACAAAAGCCCTGTTCTATGCTTTCATAAAATCAACCTCCACCGAGTAATGAATGATTTTTTTTTTTTCCTCCTCCATCAGCCTGAACACCACAGTGGCGCCGCTCTTCTACGCTGATCAGTTCCTCCAGTTCTCCACCGCCCTGCCCAGTCGGTTCATCTATGGCCTGGGTGAACACCGCTCCACCTTTCTGCACGACGTCCAGTGGAACACACTCACCATGTGGGCCAGAGATGTTCCTCCCACGGTAAACACGCTAATCGTTGGTTTGTTTATGTTTCTCATCGCTATGGCAGCCTAGCCTTTGATCAAGGTAGCACAAATAATGATTTACAGCCTTCGTTTTATTATTCTAATGGTGTCTGTATGAGTTTGCTCTTATCTAAATGACAAGGCTGAAGTTGGTTTGTTTTTGTTTTGTTTTTTTCCTGGTTTGTAGGAACAGACGAACCTCTACGGGGTTCATCCATTTTATCTGGCGATGGAGGACGGTGGGGATGCACACGGCTTCTTCCTCCTGAACAGCAACGCCATGGGTCAGATATACCCACACTTAGATCTACAGTGGAAGTACACACAGTGGTGAAAAGCACAGAGTTTTGAAACAGTCTAAATACCTGCTGTCAAAATGAAGAAATCCTAGAAAAGCGGAAGTTTGTTTTTCATGTGATCCCTTTCAGTTATGTGATTCAACCTCAACTTCCCAGTGTTGTTAAAGAGCATTGCCTCTAAATTTGACATGTAATCATTTATTTGTTTGGGATCATTCCAATTACTGCAAAGCAGGCATAAAATAAAAAATGGTTCAAATTGGTTTTCAGGCAGATTTTTTTTTATTTAATTTAATTTTTTAATGTCTGTCCCTCTTCTAAATATGAGCCGTTACTCGGAGAGAGTAATCACATTATTTCAATTATTACATTTCATGGGAAAATAATTTCTACCGGTTCCACGTTGACATGTTGATGCACAAATCTTATTAGGAATGGCTAATGATAATACATGTTGACCTTTTACCGATGGATTTTAACTGTTCTTTTCTAATTAACTCATCAAAATTAAACACACAAGTTCAAATATCTACGGACACAAGCCTTTTGGGTCATCTCTAGTAATGTTTTATTAAATGCCAACATATGAGGAAATTTAAATGAACTGTTTTAAATTAGTTTGTCATTTTAAGACCACTAAATAGTTATGTAACTTTTACAAATTATTTTATAAAAAAAAAAAAAAATTGTGGCTGTCTTGACAGTAAAATCTGTGGAAAAAATAGAACTCTTCTGCCTTCTTCCAGTGCTACAGTTGACTTTTTTTTCATATATATATTAATGCACTGTTCCCAACCAATCAGAGACAGGGGGAGGATCTTGGCGCTGTCAATCAACTTCTTGTGGTTGCTGCTAAATGTGCTAATGGCAGAGAAACGACTTGGTCTAAGATGACCGTTTTAATGTTAATCGGTGGCTATGCTAGCTAGCATTAGCATTCATGGAAGACTAGTCGTCCTCCTTCATTAATTCAACCACCTTGTACAATTTCTACTGTGCTTAAAGTTGCCAGGATTTCTAGCCATAGAATTAAGTCTGACAGTTCAGCCGAGACGAGTGGTCAGATTTTTTCATCTGAGGGACGTGTGCATCCAGTTGTTTTTAAAATTCAGTCTTGAGTTATTTGTTGTCCGTTGATCACCCTATTGGAACAAAAACAATTTAGATGCATAATTAAGAGCCTAAAAATAACATTTAAGTTCAGTTTGAGGTTATGGCTGCAGTTGCAACTCTTGTTAGGTTTGCTGCAGATTTGTAAACAAAGGTTTGGTTTTCAGCTTCAAGCTGCTTTTTTTGTGTGTGTGTTTGATCAGATGTGGCCCTCCAGCCGGGCCCCGCCCTGACCTGGCGTACCATCGGAGGAATCCTGGACTTCTATGTGTTCCTCGGTCCAGATCCTGGTTCAGTCGTTCAGCAGTACGTGGAGGTCATAGGTCAGTGAGTGTGCTTTGATGAAGACTGAAACGACTTGTAACTGGTCGTCTTGATCACTGAAAGAAAAAGATGGAACGACAACGACTTACAAAATCAGAAAGAAATGGTGAAATGTATCACTTTGAGATCCGTTTGTTTTCTGATATTTCTTCCTTCCAACTGATTTTTCTCACAGGACAGCCAGCCATGCCAATCTACTGGGCCTTAGGGTACCACCTCTGTCGGTGGGGCTACAAGACCAGCAATGCCACCTGGGAAGTTGTCAAGAGAATGAGGAATTATGGGATACCGCAGGTGAATATTCATTAATACCAGTCATTACTTTTTGCTGCTGTTGTTGAAATTATGTTATGAATTGTTGCGTAACAACAAAGACCAAAAGTAATTCTCAAACACAAACCTTCTTCGTACTGTCAGATGTTTTTTGTTTTTTACATAAAGCTAAGACTCTGTGTTTCTATAAAACACAAAATAGAAAATTTCTAGTTTCTCTTAATTTCAGTTATAGTAACTTAAAACCGTTTTGGAAAATTAAAAATTTACTCTCACTTTTTAATTATCCCCCAGTGGGCCGAGAGGGGCAGCTTATTGCCCATTGATTTTAATTAAAAAAAAGGTACAATTTTCAGTTTGTTAAAATTTATGTCACAAATTTGAATTCCTTTGTCATTGTGCAAGAAAGCACAACAAAATCTAAAAAAATTGCAACTCTTGAAATTGGAGCTAAATAAATGACTAAAGGGTAAATAAAAATATGGTAAAAACAAATAGAAACAGCAGGGATGGTCAAGATATTGGAAACATTGCAGTTGATATGTATTGATATTGTACTAAGAATATTATGATTGTTCAGGCTATAGATGAAGCCGCGGTGGTCAGAGCGATTAATTGAAATGAACATGTTAAAGTCTAGGCCGAAAATGATTTACTAATTCATTCGAGGCATGCTCACTGCAACGTATGGTGGAGGATCTGTAATGCTGTGGGACTTTTTCTCCTTCAAAAGCTGTGGGAGATTTGTAGGAGTTCATCATGAACTCTCCTTTTTTTTTTATACCTGCACCAGAAACGGTGTGTGTGTGGAGATATATATATATATATATATATATATATATATATATATATATATAGTCACACTTCTCTCTGTTTTTTTTCTGTGTTCTTCAGTAGCCAATAGTTACCAAATTCACTGTTGAATCACCAGGACATTTTGAATAAAGACCTTTGTTGGGTCACCAGCATAATGATCCAGAACAGCTGGTTATGGTGCATTGGAGACATAATCTTCAGAGTCGTATATTATTCATAACGACTCGTGTTTGTTTTGGCTGTCTGTTTCCAGGATGTCCAGTGGAATGACATCGACTACATGGACCAAGCCAAAGACTTCACCTTTGACCCGATGAACTTCAACACGCTTCCGGACTTGGTGCGGGACCTCCACGCTCACAACCAGACCTACGTCATGATGATGGTCCGTAGAAGCGCACATTCGCCATGGATCCGATTGGAAGCGTGCATCTAACTGGGTTCTTTTCCCGCCTGCAGGACCCAGGAATCAGCAGCACACAGCCGGAGGGCTCCTACTGGCCCTTCGACGAGGGACTGAAGAGAGGAGTCTTTATCAAGGACGCTGAAGGGAAGACTCTAATCGGGAAGGTGAGAGAGGAGCCACATTGCGACATCAGCTGAACACGTCTCCACTCGTGGTTTTCACAAGACTCGATCACATGCTCACACTGTTTCTGCAAGATAAGAAGCTGTCGCTGCAGCTGGAGGTTTAGACACGTGGCTTAATGCTGTGATAGCTGTTCCTCCCAGATTAGATTTAGGTGTGTGAGACTTCCAGTGGGTTACATTTGGACAGCAGCATCAGTTTTAAATACCGGGGTTGATGAGAGGTGTTTGTTTAAAGGGGCAGTATTATGTAAAGTCAACTTTTTGAGCTTTACATCATGTTATAATGTTGTTCCCTCACCAAAAACACACCTGGAATGTTTTGATTCTTTCATGTTTGAGAAATCCTTTAATCTCCCGTGGCAACCATTCAGCTGTGCAAAATGCCTGGGTGGACCTAGCCCCGCCTTTGAGGATGAAGCTCCTCCTCAGAGCCGCAGTTTCCAATGCTCTACTCATTGTAGAGCAGTTATTTTCTTAGTTGTGGTCTGGTTGGCATGATTTTTGTGTTGTGTGTGTGTGTTTTTTTTCTTTTTTTTATCCCTACAGATATTTCCTCTTCTCTACTTTCTTGTAGGTGTGGCCTGGTCTGACAGCATTTCCGGACTTCTCCGATGAGGCGACACATGAATGGTGGTATGAAAACCTGCAGAGGTTTCATGAGAAGGTCCCATTTGATGGATTGTGGATTGTAAGTAAAACAAATATGCCATTTTTAAATTGAAACATTTTATTAATCAGTGCCTTAGGTTTGTAATTATACTGTTTGAACTTGTTCATATTTTGTAATGTTTTAGCAAAGGCCATTTGCTCCTTGTAAGCATTTTTTTTTCTACCCAACTAATAATTGGTTAATCAAAGGGTAATCCACAGATCGGCCTTGTACTATACTGATAAGACTAGCAGAAAGAGCTGAGCTTCTCACATGTTAGAAATATTACTTCAGCTGCAGATGCATCCTTAGTCTCGAACAATCAAGCGTACACTAAAGGAATATTACGTTACTGCATTCTAGGAATTAAATGTTTTTCTTGTCTGTTTGCATTTTTAAACTGATTTCTAATATTCTGTAAAATCAGCGCAAGTGGTTAAATTAAAAAAAATCTGTAGATTGTGTCAATTTTTTTAATCCGATTAATTGTCAGAACAATTGATTACTAAAATAATTAGTTGCAGCCCTACTCTGTTCCAGAGATTCCCAATAAAGTCTGAGGTTCTATTGTGACTAAACATTTTTTTTTTTTTTTTTTTTTTTGACACCGTTATTGTTTTGCTTTAGGACATGAACGAGCCATCAAACTTCCTGGATGGATCTACTGTTGGCTGTCCGTCAAACAGTCTGGAAAATCCTCCGTACACGCCGGGTAGAAGACAACAAACAGAAACGTCCTCCAACATACGAGCCGTCCATACGCAGTCATACAACCTGTCTTCTTTTTTTGTTTCAGGTGTGCTGGGAGGTTTGCTCAGATCTAAAACTGTATGCGCCTCTGCACAGCAGAAACTGTCAACACATTATAACCTGCACAGTCTGTATGGACTCATGGAAGCTAAAGCCACTGCAAGGTCTGGACTTTACATACAGAGCAGGGAAGTTACCAGAAAGTTACTCATACACTTTTTTCATCTCTTAATCTCTTGTTTTCTTTGTTTTGTGTCTTGTTCAGTGCTCTGAAGAGGATTTTGGCGAAGAGACCGTTTGTGATCTCTCGCTCCACGTTCCCCAGTCATGGCTCATATTCAGGTCACTGGCTGGGAGACAACAGGAGCCATTGGAAGGACCTTTACACCTCCATCGCAGGTTAGTTGCATTTCCTTACATTTACAAGAGTATCATGATGTGTTGCAGTAAAGGACAAACGTCTTCCTCGCCTTCACTGTCAGCCGTGTCACTGCAGGATTTCTGGTGAACAATTAAAACGGAAGTTAATTTTTCCTTCAAAATCTGAAACCTGCACCATTGGGTCATTTGAATGAAGACATATTAGGGGCAGTATAGATGTAAAAAATTTTTTAAAAAGGAGTAAATTTCCACCAAAAAATTCTGAAATTTTAAGATAAATTTCAGAAATGTTCTAGAAAAAAAACTTGGATTGTTTCTGAGCTTGAAAAGTCAGATTTGCTTGAAAAATAATCAGAAATTTACTAAAGATGGTGGAAATTTCTGAGCTTTGGAAATCTTAAAATTTTTACTTTTGAAACTCAGAAATTTCCGAAAGTTTTCCAGAAAATTTCTTTTTTTTTTTCCAGAAATTTACTTCTTTTTTTTTTTTTTTTTTTTAATACACCAATGCCCAAACACCCA